TATTGCTTCTAGAAGGAGAAGGAGGAGAAGAAGAATAAAATTTAGCCAAGAGATCACGAACGCCTTGCAGTTACGAGTTATTATTTTATTTTATGTCCGGGCCTTTTCATTATAACGAAGTGAATTTTTATTTTTACACTGTGGTATATCTAAGTCTTGGTGTGGTATATTTTGTCTTCGTGGTGACACTGTGGTATATCTAAGTCTTGTTGTGGTATATTTTGTCTGTGTGTTGACACTGTGTTATATCTAAGTCTTGTTGTGGTATATTTTGTTTACGTGGTGACACTGGTAAAAAAAGTCTTGGTGTGGTATATTTTGTCTACGTGTTGACAATGTGGTATATGTAAGTCTTGGTGTGGTATATTTTGTCTACGTGGTGACACTGTGGTATATCTAAGTCTTGGTGTGGTATATTTTGTCTGTGTGTCGACTCTGTGGTATATCTAAGTCTTGGTGTGGTATATTTTGTCTACGTGGTGACACTGTGGTATATCTAAGTCTTGGTGTGGTATATTTTGTCTGTGTGTCGACTCTGTGGTATATCTAAGTCTTGGTGTGGTATATTGTGTCTACGTGGTGACACTGTGGTATATCTAAGTCTTGGTGTGGTATATTTTGTGTACGTGTTGACACTGTGGTATATCTAAGTCTTGTTGTGGTATATTTTGTCTGCGTGTCGACACTGTGGTATATCTAAATCTTGGTGTGGTATATTTTGTCTACGTGTTGACACTGTATATCTAAGTCTTGTGTGGTATATTTTGTGTCTTGTGTTATATTTTATGACACTGTGGTGTTATCTATATTTTGTCTTGGTGTGTTGTATATTTTGTGTGGTATATTGTGTGTTGACACTGTGGTATATCTAAGTCTTGTTGTGGTATATTTTGTCTGCGTGTCGACACTGTGGTATATCTAAGTCTTGGTGTGGTATATTTTGTCTACGTGTTGACACTGTGGTATATCTAAGTCTTGTTGTGGTATATTTTGTGTACGTGTTGACACTGTGGTATATCTAAGTCTTGTGGTATATTTTGTCTGCGTGTCGACACTGTGGTATATCTAAGTCTTGGTGTGGTATATTTTGTCTACGTGGTGACACTGTGGTATATCTAAGTCTTGGTGTGGTATATTTTGTGTACGTGTTGACACTGTGGTGTATCCAGTCTTTGTGTGGTATATTTTGTCTACGTGTTGACACTGTGGTATATCTAAGTCTTGGTGTGGTATATTTTGTCTGCGTGTCGACACTGTGGTATATCTAAGTCTTGGTGTGGTATATTTTGTGTACGTGTCGACACTGTGGGTTATCTAGTCTTGGTGTGGTATATCTAAGTCTTGTGGTATATTTTGTGTATGTGTTGACACTGTGGGTTATCTAGTCTTGGTGTGGTATATTTTGTGTATGTGTTGACACTGTGGTATATCTAAGTCTTGTGGTATATTTTGTGTACGTGTCGACACTGTGGGTTATCTAGTCTTGGTGTGGTATATTTTGTGTATGTGTTGACACTGTGGTATATCTAAGTCTTGTGGTATATTTTGTGTACGTGTCGACACTGTGGGTTATCTAGTCTTGGTGTGGTATATTTTGTGTATGTGTTGACACTGTGGTATATATCTAAGTCTTGGTGTGGTATATTTTGTACTTGTCGTTTTATGTACAAGTTACACGTACTCCCACGATACTGTCGTTACCTTTCACGTTGATAAAAGGAAGTGTGTGGTGGTGTTTTAGGATTATAGTTCATGGTTCACTTGTTATAGAATAAGATACGTCATACCCGAAACATTCTTTATTATGATTATATATTACATACAAAGGAACCGCTGTGCACCAGGAAGTTGGCTTGAGGTTTAGAAAAAAATCCCGTGATTTCATTGGTTATATAAATACTTCTAACAACAAAGGGGTGTTTAAGTTATAAAGCTGCGGTTAATAACGACAAAATTATACAGAAATTTTATTTAAAAGATTAAAAATGAAAACTTCTTCCGGTGTATAAGTGCTGTATATTCAGTGTGTTGTAAAATAGATATCTATAACAACATGCCTGGGCTGTATGGTTGATGCGGAAACGAATCAGTTTGCAATATAAACATCTACAGCGCCTATGCATAATGGCACAGTGCAAAACACTATCTGATCCCTTTTTTGTCATCCTAAATTTTGTCAGGTCTGATTTGGTACCAAATTGTTGGTCTGATCTTGTCTTGTTTTTCATTATTATAAATCCGTGTATATCCAATTTATCTTTTATCTATTCTTTTTTAAAAATTTTTTTCCCAAATGGATAGAATACTGCGCGATGAATATCAATGAATCAAAATCCTCATTACAGAATGAAACCAGCTGGTTACTTGAAACATACCAAATTGTAAATGTACCCAAACCTCCTGTAAGTCCACGTAGCCATTGTCCACATCGCTTTTATCACAGCTGTGGTTTCTTAAAATGCTGTTACGTCATTTGAAAGCAGATTTACAGCTGTTACAACCAGTGGTAAGTTTGACACAAACCGCAATACCAGTTCGGCTCATGCAACATACCACGCTTGTATAGTTTCTCATCATCTAGAATTTGTCATTTCTGATAAAAAGACGACCCTAATCTCTCCACCACACCTGGTATATTTTTGTGACATTAAGATATCTGTTTTAGATAAAAGACTATGGCGAGTTCTTCTTTCCAGTGACGTAATAGCCTGGTTAAAATTAGATTGTTGGTTAATGCTAGGTTTCATATAACATGCCACTCTGTTTTCTAATTACCATCTTTATCGTTTAGTATCCGTTCCCGTTATCAACTCGCTGATATTCTCTGATCAACATTATATCCATTGAAGAAGAAGGGGGAAAAATAAACAAAAGCCCGAGAGCAACAGATTAACAAGAGCAGGCGAGACCAGACGGTATGGTGTATACACGAAATAACAACACCGTCATTCTACTTTAATTTTATGCGACGTCTTACAGTTTGTAAATATCAACAATATATTTTTACATATTGCGGCTTGTGATGATGATAGCAGTTCCACATAGACAGCATAGATAGAATAGAAATAAAAATGGCGGAAATGTGACTAGTGTATAGAGCGCAACAGCAATTTTTGACCCATGATATATCAAATTATGTAAAAAGACATGACCGATGTTTTTCCGCAACCTGAGCTATTAAAACGTCATTTATAGTGCCTGTAGCGATGCAAAAGGACGCAAGCTTGTATGTATTCACGAATGGTAACGACAATCAGAGAAAGACATTTCTGTAAACAGATTTCTAAACTAATTAACGGATAGTCACCGCGATGTGGTAGACACTCGTCATCAGAAAAAATACAGGTTAGAAGGCAGTTAAGACCAGGTGAGAATTGAAGACTTGGTCTACAAGAGACAGAGTTTACCCTACATGAACGGGTTAGAATATAGTTAGGGCCAAATAGTAGACACTAGGTCAATAAGAGACAGACCTTACCAGGTTTCAAAGGGTTAGTATGTAGTTAGGACAAAGTAGTAGACACCAGGTCCATAGGAGACAGACCTTACCAGTTATCAAAGGGTTAGTATGTAGTTAGGACAAAGTAGTAGACACCAGGTCCATAAGAGACAGACCTTACCAGTTATCAAAGGGTTAGTATGTAGTTAGGACCAAGTGATATACACCAGGTCCATAGGAGACAGACCTTACCAGTTATCAAAGGGTTAGAATGTAGTTAGGACAAAGTAGTAGACACCAGGTCCATAGGAGACAAACCTTACCAGTTATTAAAGGGTTAGAATGTAGTTAGGACAAAGTAGTAGACACCAGGTCCATAGGAGACAGACATTACCAGTTATTAAAGGGTTAGAATGTAGTAAGGACAAAGTAGTAGACACCAGGTCCTTAAGAGACAAACCTTACCAGTTATTAAAGGGTTAGTATGTAGTTAGGACAAAGTAGTAGATACCAGGTCCATAAGAGACAGACATTTATAAATAGGTCACATGCAAGCGTTAGACTCGTGTTCTATGTTGTTCAAAGACTAGTTAGAGATAATCAGTTGGAAATAAAAGCTTTTATACTTGAACCAAACAAAATTGGGAACAGATTAGTTTGACAGTTCTCATCGATACATCTTGAATGATAATTTTTTTTTTTTTTTTTTTTGTGACAACACTTATACATTTTTAATCACCACTAGTCAACTCCAACTAACTATGAACAAACAGGGACTGGTCCACAGTATTGTAAAACAACAAAACGAAAATCACACACACAAATGCAATTAAATGATACTTTATCACTTAAAAACATGTAAGAATAAATAAGTTACGATAGGAGAATAATAATGTAGATGAGGTACAGGCAAGTTACTATCTTCTCCACTTTGCCGAAATATTTCTTGCACGTAATTCTTATGCCTTACACTTAGCAGACAATATTCTGTTGGATTCGGCGATAACACATTCTAGCATAATATCAGATAAGTGAGAGAGTGCGTCTATATAAGCATACATTTTTTTCCGAGATCACTTTCAATTTCACTAATAAATAATTCTATATACTTGGCACGTTAAACAAATGAATCTTCTAATTATTTTTATCTCCAAAATTTAAATTTAAATTCGTGGTGGTAATTAATCGTTTGTATATACATTGATGGAAACATTTCTAAGCATCAGATACAGTTTTACGTCCAAACGAAGATAGACCCCACTTGTTGCTTTGAAGGTTACTTTTACAACAGTATCACAGTGAGAAATCAATAATGACAATTATTATGAGCTAAAATTAGACAACATTATACTTACAACGAACTTACCAAAAGCAGTACAAGGTATATTTGTAATATAAACTGTAGTCCGTGAGAATTGAGAAGTACCCTTTATATCATTGTATTTTGCACATTCAACAAATCTAATCAGTGCTTCCACATGACGATCAATTAATTCCGATTTTCGTCTAAAGAATTGATTTACAATTGCTTTAAACAGTAATGCAGTTACATTGGTCAACATTACATATGTCCGGTAGATGCCGATGACTTGGAATTAATCCCACCTTTCTCCATCGTGCCATCTATATGACCCAAGTCCATGTATACGTGTTCCTCTGGCCGGTACCAAATTGGAGTGGAATACATCGAACATTGGTCGGTGGCTACCTTACTACACTTTTTATATTTGTATAGCACAATTCTGGAAAGAAAAGCGACAAACCAATGATAATATTCGCTGACGTCACAAACCAAGGTCACACACACACACACACACACACACACACACACACACACACACACACACACACACACACACACACACACACCTACACACACTCTCTCTCTCTTTCTCCCTCTCTCACGTACACACACACACACACACACACACACACACACACACACTCTCTCTCTCTCTCTCTCTCTCTCTCTCTCTCTCTCACACACACACACACACACACACACACTCTCTCTCTCTCTCTCTCTCTCTCACACACACACACACACACACACACACACACACACACACACACACACACACACACACACACACACACACACACACACACACACACACACACACACACACACACACACACACACACACACACACACACACACACACACACACACACACACACACACACACACACACACACACACACACCTAGCCCATATCATACATACATATATATCAATGTTGAAATATCACTAACGAAAAACTGACTTGATAGAATATCATTATTGTTCTATTATTGTATTAGCAGTTAATGTTAAATTAGCTTAGAGCAGAACTGTGTCTTACCCTGTCACCAAAACTACGCCGCTGATTACCGACAGAACTACGATAGTGATGAGGTTAGATCTAGCGTTGTTCACGATTGTCAGATGCGTCAGATCTGGAAAACAAATAAGAAAGCAGATAACTGAAATGGATTAATGTACATACTTTCCTTTCACGGACAATGCAGTTATCAAATAAACAATCATAAGTGCAAGATTTCCCTTTCTCGACCAAAAATGCTACAATGGAAAAGTGAATGTATTACCGAAAAAATGTCACACACATATATCGAATCTGAATATCTGACTTACTGTTGCCTTTTTCAGAAGTTACATCATCACTTGTGGTTGTTGTTTGTGTAGTGGTTGTTCCTGTTGTTGTGGTTGTTGTTTGTGTAGTGGTTGTTCCTGTTGGTGTGGTTGTTCCTGTTTTTGTGGTTGTTCCTGTTGTTGTGGTTGAGGTTGTTCCTGTTGTAGTAGTTGTTGTTCCTGTGGTAGTGGTTGTTCCTATGGAAGTCGTTGTGGTTGTTCCTACTGATGTGGATGATTGTGTAGTGGTTGGATCGGGACAGTCATCAGATTGAACAAGACCAGAACCTGTAGATTAAGAGCGTCAAAATACATATTTTAACAAACGTGACCTTTGTTTAATCCGACTGCATGACAAACGGTTACCAAGCCCAAACACATCACTAAATATATATTATATTATATTTCATATTATCCATTCAAAAGGTGATAAAATGATTCCAGGTATAGATGTACCAATTGAAACTAGCTACATACGAGAAGATTTGTTAAATCAAAAGATTGTTTGAAATAATAGCACCTAGTCTATAAACTGAAAACTCATGACATAGTGGGTTGCAACTTACTGACACAGTATGACTGCGGACAATTTGTGGCGCTCTTGAGATGATAAACACGAAAGGAGCAGCATTTTTTTACTTGGATCATGAAAGAACTGTGACAAATTGAGAAAATTGATCTTAGACATATTTGGACATCTAGGACTTCACCCGATTCCTCTGGTAGAGAACCTGTTAAAATGAAGTAATAAATCTAAAAGTCACTAAATCAAACTTGACATTCTAACATATGAACATAATCATAGTCCAAACTAGTAAAACTAGTGCAAAATATGAACAAATGAATTTACACAGAGAAAAAGACCATGTGTTCTAGAAGGGTAAGCGTCTTCTGCTTCATCGACGACAACCACTATGTTATCTTGGAAATCTAAAATTAAGACTCGCTGTTATCACGGCATGGTTCATGAGACAATTAAGGTTTAGAATCACTCTTATCTCTGGATTATTTCTAACTCCTCTTACAATTAAGTTTTAGAATCACTCTTATCTCTGGATTATATCTAACTCCTCTGACAGTTAAGGTTTAGAATCACTCTTATCTCTGGATTATATCTAACTCCTCTGACAGTTAAGGTTTAGAATCACTCTTATCTCTGGATTAAATCTAACTCCTCTGACAGTTAAGGTTTAGAATCACTCTTATCTCTGAATTATTTCTAACTCCTCTGACAGTTAAGGTTTAGAATCACTCTTATCTCTGGATTATTTCTAACTCCTCTTACAGTTAAGGTTTAGAATCACTCTTATCTCTGGATTATTTCTAACTCCTCTGACAGTTAAGGTTTAGAATCACTCTTATCTCTGGATTATATCTAACTCCTCTTACAGTTAAGGTTTAGAATCACTCTTATCTCTGGATTATTTCTAACTCCTCTGACAGTTAAGGTTTAGAATCACTCTTATCTCTGGATTATATCTAACTCCTCTGACAGTTAAGGTTTAGATCTTCATCAAAAAGAATTATCAGCCTGATTTATGTTTTAGATTTCGATCGTTTTCCTGGTTTTAGGATATTGAAAATAAGAATATGTTTTGGAATATCTGTTCTTCATATGTTGCTCAAATTTTAATAGCCCCTGTTTGGTTCTGATCAATTAGCTCTATAACATTATAGCTTTGCTTTTCTTCGGATTTCTAATCATTGGATAATGTCGTGTGAACGAAACAGACATATCTGTTTATGTTTTTACATCATGTATCTCATCTATTTTTAAAATATAAATACATATTCTTATGTAGTTTACAGTTGAAATGGTCTTGAAAAATGACTGATTTAGTTTTATTCTCACCATTCACCCATAGCTGGTAACTTGTTCCGCATCCGTCAGTGACTAGAAGATCACTATCATTGGTCAGATCAGTCCCTGCATCCCCTACCAATCTGTACCACTTAGTGGTCAGGACACTATCACAGTTCTTGTTGCTGTAAACAGACTCAATGTGACTAGGCGATCGTGTAGAGTCGGCTGTGAAATTCTCGTACGTTGTACAGGGATCTATGATTGTAACAAAACATACGTAGTTATTTAATCAATCGTGACATGAACAACACCTTGAAGTATGTGACTAAATCAAATAGGCTATAATGAAATTATTTTATTAATTTGATACAGAACTTTGAAGAGAAAATACCATTCCCGTGAGCTACATGTTGTAAGTATTGTAGTCCAAAATACACCAGTTAAACAATGCGTATAACAAGACGTAACTGTGTCGATTAACAGTTGCATGATATGAGCCTAGTCTACTTCCACATAATCGACGGACAGATCATCGTACTCAATAGAATAGCTGACGTTACCTGAAGCCACTTTGCCTATGACGAAGATGACACACACGAGGATACATTTGTTCATGTTTTTCGTGCTTCTCCAATCCACAACTGCAGTTCAGTGATATGGTTTGTTACCCAGGTTGTTTACGTTTGTTGAATTTGGGACAGAACCAATATATTATGACTATGTATTCCGTTATACCCGGATGTAATGATGTCATATGAATGCACTATTGTCTGTGGCTTTAAAAAATTGAACTTTACGATGACCACACCCGTTAACAATCGACATCGCTTAAATAAAACATGTTTACCTGCGAATGGCAGTAATTTTAGACTGAAAATTTGTTGTGCAGTGGTTTGAGACCAGCGTTTAATGGATATTGCCAGTTAAATAAATGTGAATTCAGTATATATATTTGGTATTTGTTTTAAAATAAACTAGCTCCATCAATGAAGTGTATGTTGATGGTGATAGATTATTAGTCGGATTTCATGAGCTGGAAATGACAAAATACACCAATCTATTTACGAGCTGTGTACTAGAGCTATATCTTCACTACAGGCTTACTTAAAATTATACTAGAAACATGTTTACAAATAGAAAGGTCCTATTTGTTACGAAATAATTGAAATTTGTTGTGTTTGCTTCATATAATGTTTTGTTTTTATCAGAAAGAGTCATGTTGTGAATTCAGGTCGATTAAATGTTTGTGTAACTTGAACATTAAAATTCATCAGTAGTGGCTATTAACACACTCAATGCATCAATATATACATTTTGACTAAAAGTTAAAATACGATCTATCGTTACTTATGATAAAAGGGATTTCATTACATTGACATACAATTGCTGAGTCTATCGACCAGGCACAGAAGAGAAATGATAAACGCCGAAACATTTATGAATAGTGTAGGTGTTACCTGTTGTCTAGATGTGCGTGAATTTGTTCCCTGTTTTTGTATTCCTTAGACAATAAGTGTCACGACATTTCATCCTTGTTTAGGCAATGAGGCACTCTGAATGACACAAAGGAGTACAATAGCAAATCGCTGCTGATAATGGTATTATTTCGAATATATAAATTACATACATAAAAGTGTAACATGTGCATGTCTAGCGGGTCAAATCTTTCTATTCGTGAATAAACCTGATTCACAACACGGGTGTCTAGTGAGTTAAAACACTATATCTATATAAGCATTTTTAATTTAAATTTAATCTAGATTTAGAATTAATTATATCAATCTATATTTGGTCAGAAGACTTTGTGCTTAACCTCAGTAACATTGTATACAAGGCATCGATACATCAATCAATTCCTATGATATCTGATAGACAATGTTTCAGATTAAATAAAGTACGATATTACATCATGTGTTACTTATATCGACCTATCAGTGATCATTACCTGTAAGCTTCATACCAGGAAGTCATATACATGTCTATACAGAGGTGCCTTTTATTCATGTTCATTTGAAATACGTAATACATAATAAATAGCAAAGCATGTGATCGGTTTTATCTCAATGCATCACCTATATGCTATTAACTCGTAGCTTGGCTTAGTTTTTGATAGTTTCTCCTGATTCTTGTTGATTCAAGAGGCATAAACATTTTACTTTTTCGTAATGAAAATTATATTTATCTTATTCACTCTCTGAAGGATGTGTATTTGGTTTATAACAGAGAGGGCATTTATCGGCGTTTCCTGCTGTTTATAAAAAGAAATTCACAAGGTTTCCTTAGTTACGTACTTGTTTGTTTTCTATTTTGGGATGTATATAAATAATAGTCTTTTAACAACTGTGTTTTTAAAAAAAATGCATCGCCCTTCATACTGAGTCTCAGAATGTGATAAAAATCTTAAAAATTCTTTACTACTTATGTTCATGTTTACGTTAGACAACTATAGATGATATGTGATACACAAATGTTTAAGAACAAATAAGGTATTATGTTAAATCATGCATGTGTTACCTCTGTTGACTTACCAGTGATCGCTATTTACCGAACCAGGAAGTCATTGTCAATACAGAGGTGCTGCCCTTTATTCATGTTCATTTGAAAGATAAGTACGTAATTGATATCAGTGCATCTCAATAGTTTACCGTGCAAATGGTAATAACGACCAGTTTTATCGTTTTTTCATTACATATTTGCAATTCAATATCGAAACTTGGCTTAGTTTCAAGTTTATGTGTATTTTAGAAAATCTATTTTATGATAATATTTATATCCAAATAAATATACGACACAATCGTTTGTACAATCAGTTATCCTTAACATATAAAGTCAAATTACTGGTGACAAACGAAAGGTTGAGGGTTGTATTAGTCGATTTAAACCTGTATCCACCCAAATAGACGTTCAATGAACGAGCATCGCACAGGCCTTGTAAAATGAAAAATGATATTGCTAATGAGAACATGACTTCGATCATAACCGATCTCCATAGTCTTTTCTATGGTTGATTGTAGACAAGTTACCTCCTGTTAATAAGTTAATTATCTTCGCCTGGTCTTCCTTCGAAAAATAATCCGTTTTAGTCTTAGCTTCTGTCATGTTAAGATAAATCACTTCCTGGTTACCGCCATCTTAGTCTTAACCTGTTTTAATAACATTGTAGACTATGGACAGCTTAGATACATTGTACATCTATCATGTTAACATCTAATATCAGAGATTGAAAAATTCCCCGTCGTAAAAGAAAAAATGCAGACATTTATTCTTCATCGACGACCCCACCCATGTAAATATTGAACAGTCTATAGTAGTAGGTCACGTGACCCTGAGAACTCTTAATCAGACGTAGAAATATAACATTTTCAAACGAAACCATGACAACGACCTCAAAACCTCAAAATCCTATCAACCCGCATCTGTACAAAACACTTTGTGTTGCGTTTGTCTTCCAATCGCCAATATCCTTGACGAAAATCGCGATATTTGTACTAAACCCCTGATCATCGCATCAGCTATGACGTCACAGGACGGGAATGCCAAAAAGGGGAAAATATATTTATTTTTACATAATACATAATAACATGAAACATACTCTCGTCCATGCATACATTTTCATACATTCATGCACACATACATGAAATGATTTTTTATCATCATCATCATCATCATCATCATCATCATCATCATCATCATCATCATCATCATCATCATCATCATCGTCCTTACATGTATCATCATCCGTATCATCATCATGAACATCATCATCACCATCATCAGCTGCATCATTCCATCATCATGTAAATCATCTTCTCTTTCATCATTATCACTCGTATATGTAACCCTTATATACCTGTCCATCCACACATCCATACACATTTACGTTCATAACAGACATATAGACTGGTTTGCCACCAATTGTTACATTATCATTATGCCGTATAAGTGTTGGCAACAGTGACTTCCCCTTTAGTGGTTTCATGTTATCTGAGTTATCTAATCTCTGCCAAGCTCCCAAAACATCTTTCCAAAAACTATTATTACAATTTTCTTGAGAAATAATTATATAGTTACCTACAATATCTAGCAGTGTATTTACGTTCACTAATTTCTCCAAAATTACTCTCCATGACTGTGCCATAAGAATTCAGAAATAAGAGATAGAGTTTATTTTCTTCAGTGTATTTTATCCGGATACGAAAGGGAAAATAAATGAGTGATTAAATTGTGAAATCATTAGTGATTTTAACAAGTGTATTATGCTACAAAGACTTTTTGATTTTATTATTTTTTTTTGGTCAAAATTCATCTAGATCATCTCATTTAGATTAACACTAAAATCTATTCCTAAAAGACAAAATTTAGTTTTTCACCAATGAAGATTTAATTCTGATAAGAATTTGTCCTATGTTTTCACTCCCAATCCAAATAATTTCAGTTTTTTCAATGTTAACCTTTTGGCCAGAAATATTTGCAAATGTGTTTAATTTGACTTACAGATTCTCTCAATGACTGCTCAGTACCATCTAAAGTCAAATATGTATCATCTGCATATTGTGATAGTAAAACCTATGTATCATCAACTTTGATATCTTTTATTCTTTCATTATTTCGAAATCTGATGGCAAGAATTTCAGCACATAGAATGAAAATGTATGGTGCTATCGAGTCACCTTGCCGACATCACCCTTCGATATCAAAAAATGAAGAAAGATTCTCCCCTTGATTAACAGCAGCCCCTACATTATTATGAAACAGCTTTACCCGGTTTAAAATATCATTTCCGAAGCCAAAAGGCGCAATATCTTCTCTATAAAATTCCAAGAAGCCGAGTTAAATGCTTTTTCAAAATCTATCATTAGAACCATACCAGGGATATCATTTTCTTCAGTAAAACACATAACATCATATAAAAGCCTCGTATTTTCACTTATATATCGTCCCGCAAGAAATCCTGTCCGGTCCCTATTAATAATTTTATCTACTGGTTTTATTCTGTTAGCTATTACCCCAGATGCTATTTTATATACAATATTAAGTAGAGTGATAAGCCTAATGTTTTCAATAAAATGTCGTGATTTGTCTTTTTTAGGAATACAAGTAATAATGCCATGACGTTGTGTGATTAATAGTTCTCCCTTCATAAACCCATAATTTAATGATCGAACAAGAAAATTCCCAAGCTGTTTCCAAAAATGTTTGAAGAATTCAACTGTAAAACCATCTGATCCGAAAAAGGAAAATTACTGTAAAGATATCAAAATGATTACTTTTATAATACAGTTTAGTGGAATTTGTTGTCCCATTTGTAGGGAAAGATCGAGGTACAGCCTGGCGTGACTCAGATTTCATATTCTGCTGGATATATATCGATAGGGTCTCTATTGTTTTACTAATACCATGTGGCCTTAACCCTTTATCAAGTGGCCAATCAGTGAGCTGATAGAATATCGCCACTGTAGGAAACAACTAAAAGAACAAATATAGAAAATTTTAAAATTTTATTCGGCAACATTGTAGCAATGAATTTAGCAATTTCGACTCTACTGACATGTCCAGCGGTTTAGATATATTTTGCATCTGTCATCATAAACTATTCCGTCTTGTAATTAAAAGAC